TTACAGCATTCTTCTTCATTGAATCAGTAAGTATTCTTTAATGATCACATCATTTTTTAATAGTATCTATGTTTAATTACATGATAGATCATTCTTTCTGACATTGTCTCAGCCAATTGTTAGCTTTTCCTTCGTTTTCTTTTTTTTTCTTTTTCTATATTATTACATAAAATTATCTTATTCTTTATATATATATATATATATAGAAAGAGCTATATGGCATGTTTTGAATACGAAAGCTTTTTTTATGATATAAAAAAATCAGAAGTTCTTGATGGCATCAATACAAAATGAATGACATAAATCTAAACATAGAAAAAGAAAGAAAGAACAATAGGATTATAAGTTTACAAATTGGACTCTCATCGTAGTTTAACGTATTTCTAAACTATCGACTATTCTGAACATATATATACATATAGTTGATTATGAAAGATTACTTATATCAAAGTCAAAGTACAAAAAAAAAAGAAATGAAAGACAGTAACATATAACTTTAACACAAATTCTGTGTCATTGGTAATTATTATAGTATAAATCAATAGTATAGAATAAGATGATGAATAAGAAGAAGAATTACATTCGCGAGTATACTGATAGATGAAGATGATGACACAGTGAACAGAAAAGAATGATCTATCATGTAATTAAACATCATAGTACATTTTAATACATGATAGTTAAAAAGAAAGAATGAGTCAAAAGGTGTAAAAAAACTTGTTTATCTCTTGACTCTATATGGAATTATAGTTCTTTTTTTCTCATATTTTATATAGATTAAAAACCTTATGGCTTCATTTTTAACTTTTACTTTTATATTAATTACAGGAAGAATTTATTAATCTATTTTTCAATGTTTGTCTATTAATTTCAAATTAAAATTGTATTAAAGTATAATGTATCGATACAATATAAATTTAAAAGAAAAGAAAACTTCAAGAAAGATATAGAAAAAAAAAAGACGGTAAATTATCATTTATATAACTATCTAAAGTTTTTAGAGCTTTATTAAAAGATATCTCCTGTGATACAAAAAAGAAAAAGATATTCTATTAATACTAGAAAACATTAACAAACAATTATCTGCATTTATATATATATATATATATGTATGTGAAAAATTATAAGATTCATTTAATTTTTCACATACAGACATATTATAGTAAAAGCAGGCACTATAAAAGGAAAATGTTACTTTAATGTAAAGAATTACTATTTTATAATGAAATATTGAATAAAGTTTCATCATACAATGTATGAGTATCTTATAAACGAAATACAAGGTTTCTTTCTGTTCCAAATGACATACTGATTACAAAATCAGCATGAAATTTCCTGTTTGATGCACATTAATAAATCATGAACATGCACGTATGTATTTGTCACGAAAATAAGCTCGAATTAAACTTAAAATCTCTATCTTCATATCAAATACAGAGTTTTATAAAAATGAAAACAAAAAAAAAATGAAGCTTTCCCATGTGTTATATGTGAAATAGAACAACAACAGTCATACAAATTTATATTTTTATTAACCATATAATCACATAAAAGGACAACTAATGGTAATTGTGAAACATATCAGATGCAATAAAATGATAAAAAAAAAAAAGTATTGATATAATACAGACATGTCAGCAGTTTATCAACAACTATTGACTGTTTATAATTATTATTTTAATTGTTTCTTGCATTATGCTTGTTTTTTTTTTAAATTTCTACAAGAGCAAACAGTAAAATTCTAAATAGTATCGTAAAGTAAAATTAGGCCATATTATATAAATTATGTTAGTATTTTCAAATGATTTTTTAACATGAAATACCTTGTATGTTATAAAAACAACATAGATAATATTCACTAACATAGGAAATGCCTACATCTACGAAATATAATAGTTTAAAATCTCATTTTTTTTCTTTGACATACTTCAACATACTAATAACTTGTATATTCTTTTTATGCTTGTACTATCAGACAGTGTTCATTTTTTAACAAAAAAAAAAGATAGGATCCTATAATCTACATAAAATAGTACTTTTTATATATTTATTATGGAGGAAAAGGTCATAAGGATAAATATAGTCTCGAAAATTCTTACAGGAGAATATATTAAACGACACGAATGACAATATTATAGACAATATTCTAACATCTAATAAAATTTTAAAAGATCTAATAAACAATTATAATATTACTGAAATAAGAAGAAGAAAAAAGAATTTCAAAACATGTGATAAATTATTTTTTTATTAATCTTCACTATGAAAGAACAAAAACTCTACTACAAAAAAAAAAATGTTCTTTAACAAAATTTTTATTTAGATTTTAAAAATATAAAATATATTATATCTATATTATTAGTAATCAAATGCATTAATTATAGAAAAACGTTAGACAAAAATAGGAATGCCCATCAAATAAGAAGAACATTAGCTGGCATAAGCATTCCGATATGACATTTATCTTTATGATAGAAATGTTTTCGTATTTACTCAATTCTGTTTCTTATAGATATCTTATATATGACATACTAAATGAAGAATTCTATCATTAAAAGATCTAGAAATGATATGAAACTCTATGATAATACAGGTTCTATCAAGACCAAATGTTTCTATTTATATTACAATAGTGTAATTAATTCTTTTTTTTTTTTTTGCCATTTATATGTTAATTACCTATTGTGTAGTTTGATTATATCCAATGAATCTCGTATGTTAAATATTTATTTTAATATTAGTTAAACATAAAACTTTCACAGATGAACCGGGATGTCGAATCTATGCTAATATCTGATGCAAGATAATACATATATATGTATGTATATATATATTCATATTTATACGTGTTTTTTTTTTCAATCATTATCAGAAAAAAAATAATAATAAACAACAAAAAAAAACAACAAGCAAAGACAAAAAAAAAAAAGAGAAAAACCATGGCAAAATTGAATATTAAGAGAAATACTAATACAAGATTTATCCAAAGGCAAGAAAAAAAAAAAAAAGAAAAAGAAAGAATTCACATGTTATAAGAAGACATATAGAATATGTAAATAATCACAATATGCAGCGGAGTGTATGTGGGTGAATGTGATTTTAATATATAATTGTGAACAGTCTATCAGCAGTGTATTGGAAAAAAAATAGAAAACAAAAAGCATCACAGATGGGAAGAAGAAAGTTCTTTTGTTTCTTTTTTTCTTATTGCACATTGTGCATTTTCTTTTCTGTTGTTGTTGTTGTTGTTGTTTCAATTGTTTTTATTGTTGTATCATTTGGTGTTTGTATACGACATATACGTTTTACTTTTGCACGATGATTTTTAAACCATAAACGTATATGTTTTGATTCAAGTTTAGGAAATTTTGTTCGATATTCACCTTCATTTAATTCTGAACATATACGTTCAATTAATATATGATCAGGATGTGTTTCAATAGCAAACCATTGTTCTAATTTTGGTACTTCAGATGTTGGATCAATAAATATTCGATTACGTCTTGAACGATTATAATCAAATGATGTTGTTGTATTTGATATTTTTGTTGAATTGAATGATATTTGTGTTGGTGGTGGTGTTTGTTCACTTATTGAACTAATATTATCATCATCATTACTATCATCCGATAGTGTTGCTTTTTGTCTTTGTTTATCTGTTAATGATATATCAAATGCTTGTAAATAATTAAAATAATAATTATTATGATTTTGTTGCTGTTGCTGTTGTTGTTGTTGTAGTTTCTGTTTTTCATCAATATCAATATCATCATCAATATCATCTTCAATTTCATCTGATGAATCAAGTTCACATTTAATTGATTGATGATTTTGTTCATCATGATTATTTATTTGATGTGGTGATGATAAATTATATGATTGTTGTTCTTGTTGTATGGAATTATCTGAATTACCAAAACGACGTTTTTTACGTTTTAATGCAGCACGTGCATTTTTAAACCAATATTGTATATTATAAGGTTCAAGAGCTTTTTTTCCTAAAAAAAAAAAAAAAAATATTCAAATTTAATATGAAAACAAAAAAAAAACTATAATTAACCTTTTCGACATGGTAATGAATTAAGACTTTCACATATAGATGCTATTTGATAACGTGTTGGATGTTTTGTATCAGTAAATATTTGTAATAAACGTGGTGTTTCTTCATGTGGATCAAATGTTGTACGTTCACGTTGTCGACGATTATATGCATATTCTTTTATTGTTGATGATGGATTCATTGGTGTTGTATCATATTGTTGTTGTTGAGCAAATGATAAAAGACTAGCAAATGGATAATTTATATATGATTTATTTGAATTTAATGTTGATGAATACTGTTTTTTTGAAAGATTTAATGGAATATTATCACTATTTTTAATAGAGAATATTTTCAATTAAAAAAAAAAAACTTGTTTTTTGTTTACCCATCAGTTGTATTTGAATTCGATGATGTCAATGAATAACCATTTGGACTTGTTGTTGGTTTTAATGATGATGATGATGATGACTGTTCTTGTTTATTATCATGATTATCAATATCATCACGTATTATTTGATATGATTTATTAGCCAACTTAAAATTTAAAAAAAAAAAAAAAGAGATTTAAATTGTTAATTAAGAAATATTTTTTACATACTTCTTGTTTATCATGTCCATCATTTACTAAAGGCATTAAATGTTTTAATAAACGTACGGATCTTTTATCTTCTAAGGTACTTGAATATCTTTAAAAAACAAAAAAAAAAAAAAACAAAGTGTTTTTGTG